GATACATATTATGTTAGTGAATATATCTAAGCCCACAGCACACAAGAATTTCAGAATTTCTGCCACGTGTTTGAACAGGTACTGCTTATGACTCAAAATGGCCTCTTCCAAGTTAGTTTTTTGTCAGGGTTCCTTGAGTGCAACTCTTTACTCTCGAATATCCTAATAAGTCAGGCAGACTAGGGACTGTGCTATCACTGTACAGGAAAACATTTAAAAAGTAACTATCAAGCTATTGATCATGTTGTGCTATTTTCCCATAGAGTGTCAAGATCAATCGGATGAGTTTAAAATTCTTCCTCCAAATCACTGTTGAGGGGTCACAAAATTAGAGTCACTAATCAAAATAAATCAGGCAGGTATATTCTAAATAGCATTTGTAATGTGGATAAGGTAGAGCTGTAATTCTGTGTGAGTCAGGTCTACTCATATACGATTTAATTTCCAGTTAAAAGATGACAAAGCTGGCACTGTAAATTACAATGTATATAATCAAAGCCCCCCCCCCCCACCAAATAAGAGCAGGATCTCAGGTCTACTTATAAATAAGACCTGATGAGCAATGAGAAAGCAGTTTGCACCGATGTTAAAAACTCAAGCAGATGTCAGAATATACCATTCTGGAAAAAGTGTGGAAGCCTCTACCATTGTGCCTGACCTATAGGAAGCCTCCTTTAGCAATATTAGCTGACTTTGAGATTATGAAGTATGAGGAGATACATTATTGTGATAAAATACATTTCTCCTGTGTGTTTTTCTGCTGAATTTTATTGTTACTAAATGCTTGATTTTATTTGTGCTCTTACATTTGGCCTTTTCAATTGTGTTCACCCACTCCCAAAGCCTCTAGACCTCGTTTGGATACACATTTACAGGATATTTCAGACTGTGCAATCAGTCCTTAGGGGGTTTGTAAGTGCACTTAGTTTTATCTTGCCTTTTGTGGGTCACTGAAAACATTTACTGCAATAAATTTCGCTTTGGTTATTATCGTTCATGACATGAATAAGGCAGCAATTATGTTTTGCTCAGTAAGTGTTGGGAGGAAAAGGTCCATTTGTCTGATTGTCACGAGTGGTGCAGTGTTATAAGTGGATGTCATGATGGAAAAAAATTCTAAGGAGGGAAGGAAAGGCGTTTGGATGCAATTCCCTAAATAATGATATTGTATTAAGTTGTTGAATATATCCAAACCCACAGCACACAGGAATTTCAGAATTTCTGCCACGTGTTTGAAAAGGTTCTGAACTAAAGAAACAATAAATTCAGTTGGAAGAACCCAAGGATCTAAGATGCTCATTTAATTTTTTAAAAAAAGGAAATTTAAAGGAGATGAAGTAGATGTGAACAAAATATTTGGTGAAATACAATGTATGGAAGCATAGTGTTCTTAAAATTGGTATTAAACAAACAGTGAGCATAATTCAAATATCAATTTTAATATTATGCCAGTTAACAAGTGGTTCCGATGCAACTTGATAACAACTTCAAAGGGAAATGGAAATAGGGAAATGGAAGAGGGTACGTGTAATGGTGCATCCTAGAAACCTGTATGAGGTCAAAGCCTTACATTTCTCTTCCCTCCAAAAAAACCATCTTAACATACTCCTCCTTTTATGACTTCTCATCTTTTACCACCACCTCCAATATAAGACTTCTATATGACTTTTTATATTCTGAATCTTGGGTTTAGTGTTTCTCCAATTCTGTCCCCCTTTTCACTATGTCTTTTGACCCAGTTTTGATAAATCTCTTCTTTGCCTCTTTCTTGCCTTTAACTATAATAGTATTCTTTTCTAACTCTTTAAAATTTTTTAAAAATACAAAACCCTCCTTTTTCTTCAAAGTTCTATCAGATTATTTGGAAATGAAAGGTACACTTCATTCTAGCCATTTCTCAAATACACTGTATTATATGTAGAGTAGAAGCATGGGAAGAATTTCCAGGGAGAATACGGTCAGACTTTCAAGGGCTATTAAGAGTCTTGAGTTCTGAAAGAATGTTAATCTATGGGATTAGAGATTGCATGACTTGAATTAGTGTAAGAAAAATGTATGCCATGTTCATAGGTCCCAACATGTATTTTTAATTTTTAATATATTTAATTTAGAAAAGTTTTTAGTGCTTTCTAAGTTTGAAGTCATGCTATTAAACATATTTTAATTGTTCAATACATAAATTAAAGAGAAGAGGCTTACAGACTGACAACTATTCAGGATGGGCTGGCTGTTTTGGCAGCGATTCAGGATGAGGAATAATGAGCTAAGGAGTAATGTTTTTCTACAGAAGGTAAAGGAATTAACAGTTGTCTTCCCCTATTTGAGTGACTGCCATGGTAAAGATAGTATAGATTTGTTCGGTTGGTTTCAGAGCCACTGTGGAAATTAAAGGGAGACCAATTATTGCTCATCTTCCATAAGTGCTTTTACAATTGGACTTGTCTAATGATGGAAGAAGTCAACTATTCCTGGAGATGGGGAGGCTTTTCCAATGTTGGGGGTTTTAGGCAGAGGCAGAAGGCCTTGTCCCACATGAAACAGACATGAGTTCTATGGCCAAGAGGTAAGGCGAGATAATCTCTGAAATTCCCAACCACTCCATAATTATGATAATAAGTATTAAAAGAACACATTTATTGCATATGTTTACATTCCCTGACCTTAATGCTAGGGAAGTTAATTAACAGGTTGAATAGTTACCTATATTCTTAAAACAGATAATAGATGTGCATGTTGTCTGTATGATAGTTTTCATAGTGTAATTTAAAAACATGCTATTTTCCTACTTTTCCTTTCCCTTTTTCTTCCATCTTCTTTCCATTTTACTCACTTCCCTTCCCTTTCATCCCCTTCAGATCCCTCTTTTCCCTTCTCTCTCCTTCCTTCCCTCTCCTGAATCCATCCATCCCAGTTTCTTCCTTCCTTTTCTTCTTCCTTTCTTCATTTTTTTCTTTTCTTCCTTCTTTGTATTGAAAGTTTCCATCACTGGACACCCACCTCAGCCCAAATTAAATGGAATAAAAATGATGCTTCCACTTCTCTATTTTCATGTTTTTTCCTGCTATCCAGATTCCCAGGCCACTGGCTTGGGAAGTATTGCACAAACAAAATGGTTTCGGGGCATATCTGTTCCTAAGGAGAAGACTGTGGTTGTGTCAGGCCAGTATTTATCATGCTGGCAAAGCTATTGATTTGATGCCCATTATACACAAACTTTTGGAGTTTCGATGCCTAGGACTTTACTTGAACTCTAGTGTCGGTGGTGTGGTTGCTTTGGTTCCCTGTAGAAAGTGGAAAAGTAATTAAAAACAGAACTATTCAATGTTGTGAATCTTGGTTCACAAGTCTAATAAAATAAAATACTGGAAAAGTTGGCCGGGTGTGGTAGTTCATGGCTATAATCCCAGCATTTTGGGAGACCAAGACAGGAGGATGGCTTGAACACAGGGGTTCAAGGCCAGTCTGTGTAACATAGTGAGTCCCCCAACTCTACAAAAAACCTAAAAACTTGGTCAGGCATGGTAATTTGCATATGTGGTCCCAGCTACTTGGGAGACCAAAGCAGGAGAATCGTTCATACCCAGGAGTTCAAGGCTGCAGTGATCCATGGTCGTACCACTGCACTCCAGCCTGGGTGACAGAATGAGACCTTAACACACACACACACACACACACACACACACACACACACACACACACACACACACATACACACACCCCACATACACACACATAAACACATATACAATACTACTTACTGTAAGAAAAGTCTCTAGCTTATTCCCCAGAGTCCATTGTATACTTGCTACATAAGGCAAGTTTATCTCAATTATTCTGAGAACACTTTGAAGCAGGTAATTATTGAAATAATAAGAATTCACATATTATAGATCTTTAAATTAAGCTCAGTAACGTGGTGCACCATATAGTATATTTCCAAATGATTGCCTCATTTTACAAATAAGATCATAGACCTAAAAAGTGTTCTTGTGTTATCACCACTTCAAAAATTATTACTTGCTTATTTTCACATTTTATTTTTAGAAAGATTTATAATTTGTATATGATAATAGTTATTTGGGACTTTCTGTCTAGCTTTTTACTTTGAAGAAGAGTGGTTTCACAGCAAGTTTTACTGTGACCACTGCGATACATATCTCACCCATGACTCTCCATCTGTGAGAAAGACACACTGCAGTGGTAGGAAACACGAAGAGAATGTGAAAGACTACTATCAGAAATGGATGGAAGGGTAGGCTCAGAGCCTGAATGACAAAACGACTGCTGCATTTCAACAAGGAAAGACCTCCTACTCCATCCTCTGCTCCTCCTCCTGCAGAGGCAATGATTCCACCTCCCCCTAGTCTTTCGGGTCCTCCTCACCCTGGTATGATGCTGGCATCCCTTATGGGGGGCCCTCCCATGATGCCAATGATGGGCCCTCCTCCTCCTGGGATGATGCCAGTGGGACCTGCTCCTGGAGTGGGGGCACCCATGGGAGGCCACATGCTAATGATGCCTGGGCCCCCAGTGATGAGGCCTCCCGCCCATCCCATGCTGGTGCCCACGTGGCCTGGAATGACTCGACCAGACAAGAATGGGGGAGGACTCTTTTATCAGTTTTATAGTACTTGTTCTACTCCACCAGGAGATCATGGTGCTATGACTGAGTGTTTTCTTAGTAGCATATAAGAAAGACTATCAGAGAATAGTTTTGGACAGGAAAAGTGGGACAAAAAAGTACAGCTTTTATTTGTATTGTGAAATATAAAAATAAAATTGTCAACTCTTTTAGTTAAAAGTGTGTTCCCTTTTTCCTCCCCCCTGTATTATTTTTGTATTCTAAAGGAAATGAAACATTCAAAAAAAAAAAAAAAGAAGAGTGGTTTGTATTATTTATCTATGTATACAATTATTCTGAGGACAGAAAATAATGTGAGTAGCAAATTTACTATGATGTTACTTTCCTAGGTGAAGACCCTGAAACAAGAAGAATGAGAACAGTTAAAAACATAGCAGATTTGAGGCAAAATTTAGAAGAGACTATGTCCAGTCTTCGTGGGACTCAGATAAGCCACAGGTTGTTTTTTTGTTTTTGTTTTTAAATCTACATATCTTTGGGCAAACAAAGAGAAGAAAAAATGATAACCAAGTACTTTTCTTATAATAATAGAGAAGGGATTTCAGTTATCCCTTACTATTTTCTTACTTAAATTGTGTGTAACGATCAATTGATAATTATTCTTAAACTGGAAATTATCAGCATATACTTGTCTATCTCTGTCGTCTGTTTATCTCTGCTTCAATACGATGCCCTGTTCAATCAGAATTAGCTGCTGCAACTACCGCCATCACTACTAAGTGGAATTTCATGACTGCACCAGAGAACAGTGGCAGCAGTTGCAATTGAAATGCATCTGGGGAGAGGTGGTAGGGAGACATTCAAACATACTTGTAGTTAATTTCTAGAATAGATCTGAGAAGTTTACAGTGGTTTAAGAATTTGTTGAGAATGTGGAACAATATTTTGTTGTATCCAAAATACAATGGTGGCCTTTCTTTTGAAAACAAAGACGATACTGACTGCTAGGGAGGGGGGACACAATATCAATAAGGGTACCTGATCTCAAACCAGGTCAAGTAGGGACCACAGGAGGCCCATACCTTACCTGTACAATGTCCACTTTTATACCCAATCCTGAATTGTACCCCACATCTTGAAAATAAAAAATATTTTTTAAAAAAGAAACAAAGAACAACTGAGAGTGAATACCCGAGCCCATACTTTGCCATCTTCAGAGGTGATTATAATCTAAAAATGGATGTGTAATTTGGTATTCGTGAAAATGACATACTTCTAAGAAATGACCCTCAACTCTAGCCTTTTCTGTTATCGTACATTCTAGGTTTATGGCCCCAAGTGAACCAGAGTATAGTTATTTCTCCCTTTTATTTGGCAGCACCCTGGAGACAACATTTGACAGCACTGTGACGACAGAAGTGAATGGAAGGACCATCCCCAACTTGACAAGTCGACCCACTCCCATGACCTGGAGGTTGGGACAGGCGTGTCCTCGACTTCAGGCAGGAGATGCTCCTTCCATGGGTGCTGGCTACACTCGCAGCGGCACGGGTCGGTTCATCCACACAGATCCCTCGAGGTTCATGTACACAACACCACTCCGTCGAGCTGCTGTCTCTCGACTGGGAAATATGTCACAGATTGACATGAATGAGAAAGCAAGCAGTGACCTGGACATGTCTTCTGAAGTTGATGTTGGTGGCTATATGAGTGATGGTGATATCCTTGGGAAAAGTCTTAGGGCTGACGACATCAACAGTGGGTAAGTGGCCCTGGTCTCTAACAGCATTGTGTGAAGAGGGGAGGTGGTATCCTGGGATGTGGTCATGTGAAAAGGACATGTGAGTTCACTCTTAAAGTTATTAGCAAATGTGAAAAACCTGAAGTCATTGGGGGTGTTTTGGGGCCTCTCCTCTTCTCATTCATGGAAAGTAAAAAATCCACAATGTCTATAACTTCATTATAAGTCACTACATTTTTCTGTTTTTTAGAGAAACACATGTGGCCTGTGTTTTTCAGTGTGATTTTCACAAGTAACAGATTTTGTAGTGAAGGACGTGGGAAGGAGACAGGAGGAGTATTACTGAGCTGCTTGAATTTTTTTCTGTTTTGGCTTGTGAGAAGCTGCCTGTTACTGCTTTGAGGAACAAATATTTTCAACATTCTTAATCATGCACCTCCAACCTCACTTGAGGGAAAAATCACTTAGGAGTTGAAAGTTTCAACTATTTATTCTTTTGATAGTATTACATTTTTAAAAATCTTAGCCCCTGTTTCTCTACTGCTTCCTATTACATTCCAAAAAAAAACGTTGTTATTATAAAACTCTTAGTGTATTTTGGGAATTTGGAATATTTGATTTAATCAGAGAATGAGCCCAAAGGAGGCAATCAGGATATTCTAATGATAATTGATACTGCCATTCTGAGCACTTCCTATGACCCACCACACTCGTGTTAAGTGCTTTAAAGATATTTTATTTAACCTTTTCCCCATCAGCAACCCTTATGGGGTAGATATTTTTATACATGTTTTACAGATAAGAAAACTAATCCACATTGGCCCCAATGGTATAACACTAGGGAAATGCCAGACCTGCATTAGGACTCAGATATGCTTGACTTCAAAACTCAGGCTCTATAACATGTGGGAAAGCTTCTTAACTAATTGTATCTATAATTTTCATGGGAGTCTGGGTTTTGACACATGATTTGTCTTTCTGCATCTGAGAAGACCAGTGTAGGAAGCCCTTCCTCTATATGTGTAACCCTTCCTGACTGCTTTCATGAAAATCTTTTGTTTGAATGGAGAAAAGACCTAAACTATAGAACAGCTTTTGGTGAGATTTATAGCTCTGCTCTGATATACAGATACTCACCAGGCCATCCCTGGTATTTGCCCTCCTCAAGTTTCTTTTTTGAGTTGGAGTCTCACTCTGTCATCCAGACTGGAGTGTAGTGGCCACTCCCAGCCACCGCAGCCTCGACCTGCTGGGCTCTGGCGATCCTTCCGCCTCAGCCTTCCAAGTAACTGGAATTACAGGCCTGTGCTACCACGCCCGGCTAATTTTTTTTTTCTTTTTTTTTATTGTAGAGATGAGGTCTCGCTGCCCAGGCAGGTCTCGAACCTGCGGGCTCAGGCAATCCACTCACCTCAGCCTCCCAAAGGCACAGGATTACAGGCTGAGCCACCGAGTCCAGTCCTCCTCAAGTTTCTAACAATTTGGAATTAGAGAGACAAATTGTGATGTATTAGGACAGATTATAGTTTATCTGCTACCGGAATTAGAGTACCTATACACCTTTCTACCATTTGCTATGTGTGGACCTCTTGGGAACCTCACTTATCCACATTGGTTTTCGTCATCTAGAAAAAAGATACACTTGCACCATCTTCATGAAGTTGTTAGGAATGAAGAAAATCACCCACAAAGTTTTACCTAGCACAAACCCTAAACAACATATTTATCATCCTCCTCCTCATCATCATGACATGACATATAATTAATAACTATTTCAATGTGTGGTTGTTATTGGTTACCATGATCATGTTATATGTATTTAACATAGCCTAGAGGGAATACTCTGTTCAGAGAACATGACTGCAACACAGGAATATCTAAGTTGTATTCCGCTCCCATCTCTACCTTCTTTCTTCTCCATCCTTTTCACTCTCTCCCTTATCTCTTCCTCTCTTTTCTTTCCCTGTCTCCTTAACTGTAGATATATGTGTATGTTGGTTTTTATATTCAGCATTCTAATATATTTGGATGATGAATTATACACATAAATATATATATACTTATATATGTAAATATATACATACATGCATTTATATGAATACATGTACTCAATCTCATTATTTTTGGTAGTTATGTTCTATGAAGTCACCACAAATACTACATTAATGAATACTGAACTATTGCTCCTAGGGGAAATATAGGCTAGGTTCCTATGAGACTTTGGCCCCAACATTTTTGCCAACCAAATAATACATAACATTGCATAACTCTGTTTTATGTGTGTCTCTGTTTAAAGACACATTGTTTATTAAATATTGTTGATTCACTAACATGGAGCTGATAGTCAACAACACCATAATTCATGCCTGAATAAAGCTTATCTAACACAAATTTTCTCCATGAGACACAGCGAAGCCTTCTTGCACTTAGGAATACAAGGCAGCACTTGAGAACAATGCTTGGGAACCATTTTAAACAGCAAAATCTCCAACAATAAACACAAAAATTTGGAAAAAATGGCATTAATTAGACCATAGAATATTTTCTATGGTATGAGACCTGAAACAACATGACAGACTCTTGTGTTGTTTTACTTGATATGGAAACCTCTGAAACTCAAGTTTTGTACTGTTCTGTGAATGTCATTGAATGACTGTAGAAGTGCTAAGAGTATTGATTTTGGGGGCCCCAAATAAATTTTGGCAAAGAGGCAAATTCACAAATAAAGAATTTATGAATAATGATTATTGGCTATATTCATTCACACTCATGTGAAATGCTTATCTGAAGAGTGACAGCATATCTTGGGAGCAGTTTAAATCAGAAATCATGAAACAACTACAATGAAATGTGTTTGGAATTTCAAAAGATTCATATAGAAAAAAGTTGAGCTAAGAGTTTAGAATAAAGAGAAAGTAGTAAACCGTGACATGGATGAGAAAAGAGTGAATGAATATTATTTTAGTTCTGTTTTTTATTTAAAAACAGATGAGGTCACTCATAAGTGAACCTTGACCATTTACCATAATACTATAAGAAAGGGTGGGCAGTGGTGGGATACTGCCAGGTGGGTTGTGGGGGTTGGGGTACACAACATCAATAAGGGTACCTGATCTCAAACCAGGTGAAGTGGGAAGTAAAGGAAGGCCCAAATGTTACCTGTACGATGACCACTTGTGTACCTAATCCTGAATTGTACACCACATCTTTAAAATAGATAGATAAATAAATAGATACCTAAATAAAATAAAAACACACGAAGGAGATCTGTTAAAAGAGAACATTTGTAAATGTAGAGGGTATAATTCATTCAGTAAACCTGACTAAAGTATAATGAACAGGGTTAGAGGCACGGTTGGATGACATGATATTAATGATCTTTCTCTTAATTAAGAGTCAAGAAAAGTAGATATTTAAAGATAAGATTTGAGAGATAGGAACTATTGTGACACACCTTGACACCATTATGCTAAGTTTCAACTGTACTGAAAGTGATGCAAAACACTACTTCATAGTGATTACCAAATAGACACAGATCAGGGCGCAAGGATGACAATGGTTTTGGAAAGGGCAACACAGGCAAAATATGCAAAATGAATTGAGTAGAAAGCTCTAGGGCTAGATTTTATGAACTAGTGCAAGAGTTCTGGTTCAAAGTCATAAGGCCAAACATATGGTAGTGATATTCGTAGGGAATAAAGGAAGAAAATAAGTGATATGGGAGGCACTGCAAAGAAATAATTTACAGAACAAGTATAAAATTTACAGAACCAGTGAAGGACTAGTCATCAGAACATAAGAGAAGCAAAAAATTTAGGAAAGATGTCTATATTGTAAGCACAGGAGATGGAAAATTATGACATTAGAGAAAATAGGAAGAGAGAGAGAGACAGAAGGTCCTAATTTTTTCTCTTTTTTTTTGAGTTGGAGTCTCACTCTGTTGCCCAGACTGGAGTGCAGTGGCCACTCCCGGCCACCGCAGCCTCGCCTGCTGGGCTCCGGAGATCCTTTTGCCTCAGCCTTCCGAGTAGCTGGAATTACAGGCATGCGCTACCATGTCCGGCTGATTTTTTGATTTATTGTAGAGATGAGGTCTTGCTGCCCAGGCGGGTCTTGAACCTGCGGGCTCAGGCAATCCACTCACCTCAGCCTCCAAAGGCGCGGGATTACAGGCTGAGCCACCAAGCCCGGCGGTCCTGATTTTTTGGTGAGAAAACAGAGAGGGAAGATGATGGCTATAGCGTTAGAAATGCAGAGTTGGAGACTGTGGGATGTAAAGGTTGTGAAATAGCAAAAAGAATGTCCAGGAAAGAGATGTAATATATCTCATCTTAATAGAAGACAGTGAAACTTGTGGGAGGCATGAGGACACCTGGGGAAAGAACAGAGAGAGAAGAGGGATCATAAGCTGAAGTGTGTATGTATGTATGTATGTATGTATGTATTAAAAAAATTATTTGTTCAGTTCATCCTATGTGTCAAGCAATAGTCCAGGCACTGCATGTGCAGTGATGAACAATATAGACATTGTGCCTACCCACATGTGACTCACATGCTAGTATTTTGATACTTTTGTAGCTGTTCATTTATTCAATAAATGCATAATATACACATATGTACATATATATGCACACATACACAAATATTCTTAGATAAGTAGTTGAGGTAGTGTTTTTTTATCAACTGAGTTCTGCATATTATAATATATATTTTTACAGGCATACCTATACTCAGGAGTATTTTTAATTTTCCAGCACACTAGTTTTACTAGTTAACATTAATTTCTGTAACAGAGAACTCTCAAAATCTCAGTAACTTAGCACAAATAAGCTCATTTCCTCTTTATGTAAAACCGTCACTGGTGTTTCTGTTCTTCAGTTAAGGAATGTACACCATGTAGTCATACAGAGAATAAAACAGATGATAATTCTGCTATGATCCAACCAGGTTTTCAATGTCACCCTAGACATTGATATTCAACAGGCAAGTGGCAAAAGAGGGAAAGAGTTACGCATGAGAATATTTTGTGTGTACCAGGTCTGGAAGTCATACATGTTGCTTCCACCCACATTCTTTTTTTCAGAACAGCTATATGATCACATCTGACTATCAGAGAAGCCAGAAAATGTGGTTCAGGTCTGTGCCCAGAAGGAGGAGGAAACTGGTTTGATGAGAGCTGTCTAGTCTCTGCTGAACTTACTAAGTAGAAAAAATAAGTGTTGTGGTAGGCTTTGTCCTTTCTACTTCTTTTATTCCTCATTTGAAATCTGATTCAGATCTTTTTTCCTCCATTTCTGTTCCCTGTCAGTCTTCCAAAGAGACTTTCGATAGCCTCACTTAAACATACATCAGTGGTTTACATGTTTTATGTTGGTCAAATAAAAATACCCCAAATTCTATATGAAAACCTTCTCCAGTGATGTTTGCCTGCTTGACCTTACACGATTTTTCTTTCCCATGGTCGGGTACACGGCCGTGAAATTTAAAGCACGACTCACTTTTCCCTGTGAGGAAGATGACTAGACATGGTTGGCAGGTGATGTGACTGATCTCAGTTCTAGGGTGATTAAAGGATGTTGTACAGAGAATACCCAGGATGTGCTGGACTTATTCATTGTCACAAGTGTATGCAGTGTGCCACTGGCGGCTTTAGTAGAAGGCAGCCAAATATATCAGCCTAGAATTAAAATATGAGAAGATAAGAAGGCTGAAGATATTCCAGAAAAGTTTAATTTGATTTTTTTTGGTAAGAAAAAGGAGCTTTAAAATATTTCTGCTACAACTCATGAAAAAAAGAGAATGACAGCTTTTTCTTTAAATTTTTGAAAATGATGTTTTATTGATTAAAGAGACAATAGACTCAATAGACACAGTAATGAATGGAGATGTTTAATTTAGGATTTTTTTCATGTAACAACAAAGAACCTCATGAAGTCAATGTAAATAAGAACGAAGTTCTATTTTTTTAATGTACTGTAGGTATAACTCAGAAAATGAGTTAATTGGCATTCCGAGAATTCAGAATTTCTTGAAGCATGCAAAGGCTTATCTCTTTCTCCTCTTTTTGAAATTACTTTGAACACTTGGGGATATGAATCTGTCAGTAATTAGGAATTAGTCAGAGAAAGGCCTCTTACTCATAATGAGTCTGAAAAATTCTCCATTAATGAAGTAAAAAAGGAACACCCTGAAAAATTGGGCAAAAGGTTACAGCTTTTAATTGGCTGGAAATTGAAGTCATCTTCAGGTGTCACAGAGATAAATAGTTGGACCAAGAATGTAAACAAGAATTCTACTTTAAGTCACGTGATCCAAACAGAAAGTAATCTAAAAATTCTGAGGAATAACATTAGAAAACAAGGTAGGTGAAGATACACTTTAATTTTGCTTCTGCCTTGGTCCTAATTCACTTCTTTAGGAACTTTGTGATGATTGAACTATGCATAACATTGTGTGAATAGTCAGGGTTACTTGTACTGTGTTAAAAGGATCTACCTTTTGTACTACAGATGTCTAATCTTAATGCTTCCTCTAATGTCATATTCAAGATGTGAGCTATTTTAGTGAACACAGAAATTCTAATGCAGAGAATAGCTAGTAATACTGGTAGGCATTTATATTGTGCTAGATGACACTCTATGCATTTTACTTGTATTAACTCATCGTTATCTTGCCGTAACCACTAGAAGTAAATATATTGTTACTAACTCCCTTTTACAGATAAAGCAATGAAGGCATAGATAATTTAAGCGACTTGCCCAAGCCCACACAACTACTACATAGCAGCTCTGTAGTGGAACCCAAGCAGTCTTTCAGTACTCTTGATCATCATGACATAATGACCTTATGTCAATTAGGTCTTACCCACATGAAAGAGTTTCTCTTCTTGAAGCTTGATTTTTTTCAAGCAATCATAAAAAGGCTCATAGTAGTCATTCATTATTAGATACTTTTCTTGACTAGCACTTTTGAGCTAGGGGGCATTTCTTAATGTTAGCTGTGCTCCTCTAAAGAAAGATACTGAACTGGGGGTTCCTTTTGGGGAAATTTTGAGAATCCCTTTAGATTCCCTGTGTGTGCATGGCAATTAAAAAGGATTGTTTTTGCATACAGCTGTTGATATGAGACATTGAATATAAAAACACAATTCTAGGAAGATGGTAGATGTGGTGGAAGATATGATGGAAGTGTGGGTTTCAAATTCATTATTGCTATAACTTCCAACTCTCCGAAAGTGGTATTTACAAAATAAAATTATCTTGCTTTTATTTTGCTCAGAGATATATTATCTACAAACCTATTCAAAATATTGATAACAAAAGAGAAAAATGGGTGTTATAATAGACTGGTTGCTTGTTAAAGTAAGGAATATTGGTTTTCTAATGAAATTGAAAATATATTTTAATTTTTCCTGGTGAGTAGAATGTCTATACAGAAAAAAAAACTATAATAGAGTAATTTTTGAAAACTGTGGATACTATTTATCAAGTTATATTTTAGAAATAAGTTTATTTAATTTTCTGTGGATTAATCAGACATTTCTTTTCAGGTACATGACAGATGGAGGGCTCAACCTGTATACTAGAAGTCTGAACCGAATCCCAGACACAGCAACCTCCAGAGATGTCATCCAGAGAGGAGTTCACGATGTGACGGTGGATGCAGACAGGTAATTCTATCAGCAGATATGATGGGGAGGAGGGCATAAAGCAACTTCATAAATAGCATCATAAGCAAAAACTCTTAAAGATAGTGTAAACCAAAGAACTTTTTTATTTTGAATAGTAATAATTTTAGAGCATTTTAAAAGCTAAGATGAGCCGGGCTCGGTGGCTCAACCTGTAATCCCGTACCTTGGGAGGCTGAGGTAAGTGGATTGCCTGAACTTGCGGGTTCAAGACCTGCCTGGGCAACTTGGTGAGACCTCATCTCTACAATAAATCAAAAAATTATCCGGGTGTGGTGGCGCGCGCCTGTAGTTCCAGCTACTTGAAAGACTGAGGCAGAAGTATCTCCAGAGGCCAACAGGTCAAGGCTGCAGTAGCCAGGAGCAGTCTCTGCACTCCAGTCTGGGCATCAGAGTGAGACTCTAACTAAAAAATAAATAAATAAAAAAAAATAAAAATAAAAAATATAAGCTAAGATGGTTTCATTTGCAAGACCATTTTAGCTCTGTAATACTCTAAAATTGTATTGCTGGGGAGAATGTTTTTAAAATTTCAGGTTACACAGTGGCAAATGTTAATGTCTGTAACAGCAAAATTATAAACACAGACTCATTTTCCTTATTAGAAAGGAAACCTGGCAATATTTTTTTCCATTCAGATCCACTGGAGGCTAGTGATAGAAAAATTGAAGCATATTTCACATCAAGTACACTAAATTTGATGCTTTTCTTGAAGATGCTGTTGAAAATATACTACTCTTGCTTTCAACTTATTTCTGCTTTTCCACTGCCTAAAATTACTCAAAGGCTTGTATTTGTGTGTTTCATATACTGGTGATTATTTTGCTGGAAATTACCCTGCCAGTTTTATCAGAATCATCACTGTTTGAGAACATTGCCTTTGTAAGATGTAATTCTGACTAGGATTTTGCTTCCTTGTCACTCAGAATCTTGATTTTGTTGAGCAGAAAAGGATCGCCCACTTCCAGAACTATTATATATTGCTACCTAGAGTGGTTCTTTAATTCCACATTTATGAGGAAGACAAAGGGTTAAGACGTAATATATCCACATTCTGAAATAAGAACAGAGTACAATTTATCATACGTTCCTCTACAACCAACTCCAAAGGTTGGACAGTGAATTCTGATATCAGTCTTCAGTTTCTCCTCACTGACATGCTGTTGATATCTTAACTCGTGTTTGCTGAAAGAACAGTCTTAGCTCACACCCTGTGTATATCCTCATCTCCTTGTGTGTGTGTGTGTGTGTGTGTGTGTGTGTAGCATGTCATTACAAATGGCTTCTGAAAACTGCTGCCCCTCCCCCACCCACTGAACTTCTCTTCAGCCATTTTTTTCCCCTGATGTTTTCATTAACTTCAATCCTGCCAGGCTTCTTTTTGACCTTTGTACAGTCTATCATCGCAAAGTTTCAACTGATGTTTCTTCTGCCTGAAATGATCTTTTCTACATTTCTTGCATTATTGCCTTTATTGCATCATTTCCATCCCAGTTTTAATGTAATTTTCTTAGAGTAGTCTTTCCAGAGAAGCTCAAATTTATTTCTCCCAGTTACTTTTATACCCTTTACCTTTTATTATTTTATTACTGCACATATACTCCCTAAACATATCATACTTATTTATATGTTTATTTTCTATATCCTCCATTATTATGTAAACCCACCAGTGCAGATTTTTTGTTATATTCTTCACATGTTGAACTTTTAACAAATGCTTGTGTAGTGAATAAACGAATTAACAAATATAGGCTATATATTGATATAACTAGCAACACAGTTCAATTGGGCAGAGAGGCAAAGGAGGACAGGAAAGAGCCAAGTACTACCAGGATATTATGAAAGGGGAAATTCATGATGTGAAAAAAATAGGAGGCCATGATTACAGGGGAAGAAAGCTTTGTTGCTTTGTTTTGTTTTAGGGATGAAGGAATTTGAATTGGCATAGAGAGTGAATTCCTAGTCAAAATAAGGTGATAAGAATTCAGGAAGATATTAGAATAATCTAGAAAGAAATTATAGGACTTCTATAGATGGAATGTTCATGTCTTTTCCAAAATTCTTATGTTAAAACCTAACTCCCATTGTGATATTATTTGGAAGTAGGGCCTTTGGGAAACTATTAGGTCACGAGGGCAGAGCTCTCATAAGTGTTATTTGTGTCTTTATAAAAGAAACCCTCAAGAGCTCCCTAGACCTTTCTGCCATGTGAGATTACAGCAAAAAGACAGCTGTATATAAGTCTATGAAGTAGGTCGTCACCAGACACTGAATCTTCCCGTACCTGAGCTCAGACTTCCCAGCCTCCATAACACTTCTCTTGCTTGTCAACCACCCAGCCTGTGATATATTATTATAACAGCCCAAACAGACTAATACAAGGACCAAAATGAGTGAAGTTAGATTGAAGAGGAATAATCTTTCCTCTGAAACAGAAAGGGGGCATCAACATTAGTTTGGACGTATGGAAAAATTCCTGGAGTTAATTCTATCTTCTGTCTAAAGTAGAGACCAAATCACTTCTGAGAATTAGAAATATATGTGCAGGATAAGATCTTGAGGAATTTTTGAAAATGTGGAATGACCACTGAATATGGACACAAATTTCTCAGATAAAATTAAAGATTTGCAGAGAGGTATTAAAGGCCTAGTTATTCACTCACATGCATAATGTTTTCATAATAAAGATTTACCTGCTTTAAGAGTACAATTCAAGGATTTTCAGCAAGTTTACATAGTTGTACAATTATCACAATACAGTTTTATAACATGTTATTATTTCCACAAAGATCCTCATGCTCTGTGGAAGTCAATTTAGCTCCAGTCACCTGCCCTAGGCAACCACTTATTTGCTTTGTTTCTGTAGATTTGCCATTTTTGGATATTTTATTTGAATGGATTCTATAATATATAGTCTTTTTCCTACAGTTTACTTCACTTAATGAAATGTTTTTGAGGTTCACACATGTAACATATCTTGAAGTTTTATTCCTGTTTATTGAGGAATGATATACTTTTATATAGCAATACTATATTTTGTTTACCTCTTCAGTTGTTGAACAAATTTTTTTGCTATTTTAGCTATTATGAATAATGCTGTTGTAACCTTTCATGTGTAAGATTTTATGGGGACATATGTTTTGTCCCTCCTTGATAAATACCTAGGAATTGAACTTTTGAGTTGTAAGATAAATTTTTATGAAAATATTTATGAAATTGCCTGTTTTCCAAATTGCTGTATCATCGCACTCCCACCCACAATGTCTGAGTATTCCAATTTCTCCTTATCCTCACCAACATCTGTTATTATCAGTATTTTTGAACATAGATAGCTTCTTTGGTAAAATATTCAAATCATTTGTGTATTAGTAGTTGAGTTGCTTCTAATTATTGAGTAGTAATTTTTTAAAAATATGTAGTCATGAGTTGCTTAAAAACAGGGATATGTCCTCAGAAATGCTATTTTAGGCAATTTCATCCTTGTAGAAACATCACAGAGTAAACTTACACAAATGTAGGCTATATGGTATAGCTCTTTGTTCCTAGGCTACAAACCTGTATGCCATGTCACTGTACTGAATACTATAGACAGTTGTAGCTCAATGGTAATCATATGTGTTTCTAAACATAGACAAGATACAGCAATATTATAATCTTATGAGACCGCTGTCATATACAGTATATATAGTTTATCCTTGACTGAAGTGTTGCTTTGTAGCATATAATTATTCTCTGTATATGTATTTTATTAGATCTATGGTACAAGTGTATAACTTATCTAATCAGTTTTAATGGTATCTTATGAAGCACAAAGTTTTAAATTCTGATGAGGTCCAATTTATTAATTTTTGTGCTAAGAATCCTTGAAATAACCCAAAGCCACCTAGTTAAAATTTGAAACCATTAATTTATAGTAGATCTAATCAGTATGTATGTTATGTAGCCTTACTCAGCAGCTTGGGTATGGAAACAGAAAAACTAGATGATTGAATTCATCCAGAACTGGAAATGGACTGGTGAGATGTGGTGAGGTATGCTATTTGGAGTATGAGTTAAGTGATTGACAACTGGTCTGAAACTAAATTCAGATGGTGAACATAGGATGCTATTATAGACTGCGAGACAAAGGATTCTGAAAACATGAGCATGAAGTCCATGAGCATGTCTAATTAAAAAGGGAATGAAAGATGTTGATTGGTAGGGTTATGCCAAAAAATAAAATAAAATAATAATAAGTTTCACATTTGAGATGTAGAAATTTTCTAGATGATTGGACAAAGTAAGCTATCACCTGAGTTACTAAAGTAGAGTGATTATAAAAGTCACAATTTGGTTATGTAGATGATTCATCCAGGTGACTATACTTCAGTATGATGACAGGAGGGGTCTCAAAGGACAGAAGGACAAGCCTCAGATACTATGTTATATATTGAATATGGACAAAATTCCACAAATTGTGGTAGCAAGATACCTTTTCCATGTCTATTGGGTTGTCTACCACATCGTTATATAAACTATATTTCTTAATACAGTGATTGCTAATTTCAATTATAAACTAATCAATGTAATTTTGTATTTTCACTAATTTTTTGCATGTGTAATTATGACGTTGAAAGTATAAAAGCATAATACATAATAGAAATTATTAGTTTTGGTTTGGTTGGTTTGATTTGTGAAACTGCAATCTAGATGCTGAAGTCACAGCTGATAACAGGATTTATTAAAGGCATTAAAGATTGTCATGATTTTACATGAGTCTCAAGCTTTTAGTCTTTGTAACTCTTTGTCTATTGAAGGAAGCCTAAGTTCAAATATAAAGATACAGTCACATTGAATCTCTAAATCTAGAGTCTTTAGCAATGTGCAGTAAATTGCATTGCTATTACATAGGGCATCATGACCAGTTCTCATAAAATCATGTGGAGAGTCATTTATAAAGGTGAGAGGCCCGAGGCCCTCATTAGGTCCATGCTTTTTCCAGG